CTGACTGGAAGACATTGACTGAACGTAGTAATTCTTTATTAGCTGGATGATGCTGCCGTTTTTGGAGCGTTTAGTTTATTTCTCATTAGAAAAAGTCATGAGCTGAAATATATTGCAGGTTATATTGACAGAAAAAAAGCAAATCAAACATTTTTATATATTTATATGTAAAATGTAATTACCATATCAATCTAAATACGCCATGTATATTAGATATAAATCATTTATCTGTATTATTCTGCTCCATTAAAACAATTGTTTTTTTGTGATGGATTTCTATAATACGTTATATGATTTATAGACCTCATAATAACTATACAATGTGATGGGCCTATTTTTTATTTAAGTTAACATAATCTACTGATGTTATTTAACAGCCAGTCTGTTTCAAAGTAATACATTTATCTCCATGTTTAAAGTCTTAACCCCCCGAAAATGAGAACCTCATGGTTGTTTGATGCTGTAGCACACGGGTTGTTTACATTGCGACCGGTCTAACTAGGGAGTACCAATATGGCCGCCAGTGGCTTCAGTTTAACCCTGTACTACCGACGTGCGATCCAGTGGATAAACAGAGATCAGTGGTTTGAACCCTGACTTTCTGCTGTAGCTACCAGATCTGCTTCCTGCCAGTGACGTTACATGATTGGCTAAAAGTTAACCACATGACTTTAATATGCGTATTTTATGGCATCACAGGTGATTTCTGTGATCTTTCATACCATCGCATCATAACAACCAGGCTGTTAATTACTCATATATATATATATAAATATATATAAAATCGTGCAAAATCCTTCGTCATCATCACCGTGGAAACGCTGCAGCCCGAATTCCTCGTTTTCTGGCATTTTTTCCACATTCTCTAGCTTTTTCTCTGCCTCGAGCTTGTTTTCCGAACATATGGCTTTACGATCAAACGGAAGCAGATCCACCTAAATATATTGAGTTATAATATATCTGACAAAATGTTTTTTTATAAACTTAATGCCGCAATAATCACAATGAATTTTAATGCCAATTATGACCTTAATTAAAAAAAATATTATTTAATCACTTTAAATGATTTTTAATGACCAGCGGAAATCCTGACACACAGAAGGCTAAATGCTAAACAGAAAACTGCACTGATGGGGGATTATAGTAATATGCCAGATAGAAAAAAAAAAAGATGAGGATGATTTTACTCCGACGAACCACTGATACGACGACGGAAACGTAGCGTTCACCCTGCAGAAAATCCGGGGTCTGTGGTAGAATCTTAAAAATAAAACTTTTTGCTGACCATAATCTCATTAAAGCAAGATGTTCGTAAGCAGAAAATATGTTTACTTTCAAACAGTTTGAGAGCGTCACACTGAAACACGCTTTATAAAAGGTCTCAGTGGGTTTGAATGGTCTGAAGAGGGCGGTATTGCAACAGAGTGGATCCACTGAAGAAATACCAAAGAAGAAGAAAGTTCTGTATGTCAAAAAAAAAAAATAATAAAATAAATTTGGTCTTGCATTGTTAGGATGTCGTAATAGGGTCACTCAAAGACAAAAAAAATGAGTTTAAAGTGGCATTCTTACGATAATACGTGAATGTACGAATAAAAACATGCAAATTTATGAGATTATAAACATGCTAAATTAGAAGGAAACAAGTAGCAAATCCAGGGGGATACATAGGAAACTTACAATAAAAAACATGCAAATTTATGAGATTATAAACATGCTAAATTAGAAGGAAACAAGTAGCAAATCCAGGGGGATACATAGGAAACTTACAATTAAAAAACATGCAAATTTACGGGGTTATATGGATGCCAATTTAGAAGAAAAAAATAAACAAAATTAAGAGAACACGTAAATTTGCGAGTAAAAACTTGCTAATTTACAAGATTAAAAACATGCTAAATTAAAAAGAAATATGTAGAAAATATATGAGAATAAATAGGCAAATTTAGAAGACAATTTAAGAGAATAATCATGAAAATGAATTATACCATTATCACTTAAAAACCTCCACATGGTCATTTTACAATCTCATTCCATCACTAATCCCCCCTAATAAATGACGCATTTCCATGAGCTTTATGTAGCATACTTTAACATGTAGTATAATATGTTGTTCTGCACATGTGCGTCTGACAAACTTGCAACTTTTTTCTCCTGAATTTGCGTGTTTTTACTAATCCATTTACTAGTTATATTTGTATATTTTAATTTCGGTGTTTTTACTCGTAAATTTGCGTGTTTAGTCTTGTAAATATGCCACTTAAAAAAAAACAAAAATTTAATTGTTTATTTTTCCATCTTAGAATGGCACTGATACACCGTCGTGGGTTCTTCTCGTTTGGCCGCTCCGGCCTACCATACAGCAGGGCTTTTAGCTTCCTATGCTAGCAGAGCGTCATTCAGCTCATCGGACAGTGGTAGCTTAAACTGATCAACCATAATGGACGCTAAACTAGAAACCGGCTGTCCAGAATTAGCAGGTTGAAGCTCGGAAACCTCAGATGAACGAATCAACAGATGAACGAGTGACCAGATGAACGGATGACCATCGCGTTTTCACCGCCATGCTAATTCTTTGTAATTAGCCCACTCAGGGCCTAGCCGAGCATTAGCTTCTCAGCTAAAGTCACAGATTCAGATCGTGTCCTTCATGCTAAGCTAGCGCTAACAGCCGCACTGACGCTGCTTCGTTCACTAGATCAAAGCTACCGACTGTATTTTAGATGATTTCCTTACCTGCTAACTGCGGCCCGCGCGCTGTTGCTTTTCAGACGGATGAAATGGCGACTGCAGCGCTTTACCGCCAGACGTCTTACGGTGACGTCAACGCGTAGTGCGACGTCACCGTAGCGCGAGATCTGCTCCTCACAATAAAAACGGAATCTTTTATTTTGAATTTTCTTATTTTATTTGGAAAGTTTTATGTTCATAAATGTAAATGGTCCAGTTTAAAACCCAGTTTGCCTCAATTCAAAACTGAACTGAAATCCTACCTTGGAACCTTAAAAGGTTTAACAAATGTGAAAGCTATAAAGACCTTAAATTTGTACCGCTCCCATATGTTTCATTTTATTGTAACTCTCTTTTGTTTTCTTTTTCACTATTAATAATCCTGTAATGTATTAATTGATGTCTTGATATGGTTTTTGATACTGTTTGTCAATTTTGTTAATAAAGTTTTATTGGAAAAAAGAAGAGAGAATTGAACAATAATTGTGACCACCCACTGGCATATTTGTTTATTCATTTGTATATTTTATTGTTGACTTTAAATGAAATAAAAAAATTCTACAATAATAGCCAAAATTTATCGGGACAAAAATGTGGAATTTTTTTATGTAATCTTATTTTCATTACTGGGAAATTCTTTATTGAGGAAGTTTCTCCAAATGTCCAAGTTTCCAAGATGAAATTGAAAGTTTCCATACCTCCATGAAGTTAATTGTTTTATTTTTTTCTTTTTTTT